CCCTTCCTCCACTCCACGTCCCTTGCGCTCTCGTTCCCCGCTCGGAGTCCCTCCTCGCCCTCTCGTCCGGATGGTAAAGCTCTCTCGGTAAATTCTTCAGGGCCGTCCGCGTTTCTCGGTGCCTCGATGTCTCGGTCCAATTAAATGTCGATCAAGGCGGTCCAAGGTATACGGACGTTCGGAACAAAAAGGGTCCGTTTAGCCTGCACGTTGAGAGAAAGAGAGAGAGAGAGAGAGAGAGAAAGAGAGATGGTATAGGATGGAAAATATTCGCTTATCCATACATCCGCAACGAGACACACGAATTATTTCGACTTTAGAATGCAAATATCAGGCATCTTCCAACAAACGTGTTTATTCTAGTGAATAGATTTTGTAAGAATAAATTCAGCATCTTAACGTTGATATTATCTTGCGAATAATTGTTCATTATCTTATTATTCCGAATTTCTATGTTTTTTGCAACCTTTAAAAGATTGAATTGTTCTCTTTTTAAATGCAAAAATTAATTCAACACTGAAGCTGTTTATTACAGCCGACGATGATATTATTGCCCGGTGTGTCAACGATCATCGTGCGTAATGCGAGTCGCTAAGGTTTCAGCCGCGACGAACGGCCTAGGATCGCGCGATCGTACTTTTATTTCGTTCTATTTCTAAACGCGAAAATTACTCGCGTGCACACCACCACTCCGCGGAGCATGGCGCCATTCTTGACACATCGCACCGGCGGATGGACAACCGTTATGCTATGCGACGGAACATGGAAGTGTTGCTGTAATATATTGAGTCAATATGAAAGTATCTCACTATTTAAAAATATTGGGTTGCGTAACAAGTCATTTCCTATTTTCCAATGGTATTTTTTTTTACGTAGCACGCTTTCACGCAATGTGAAAATATCGTGATACGAACAGAACTTGATTTATGTGTTAGCCAGTGCGCTTTTCCTGACCAAAAGATAGATTTATCGAAGAAACCCGAATCACTTATTACACAAGCCAGTAGATTAATTTCCAGAGAGAAATCGTAAAATATTTAAATAATCATATTGTTGCGATACTTATGTGGCGCAAATGTTAGATAATTATTACGACACATTGTTAAACGATATGTAAGAATAGCTAAATGTCTTATAATTATTTTTCGAGTGAAAATCTGTCGATGGAATGTTACTGACGCACGTGGGATGCCTCGCAAAGAGGCGCAAGTACCGGCGCCCGCTAGAACAATGCAGCACGATAGGAATGTTGGGCTCGCGTAAATAGAATGAGACAAGAGTCGTCCCGCCCGAAAGATCGCGTTGTCACTTTTCGTTTCGACGAATATCGTCGCCCGTGATGCCCGCATGCATCTTCGTTACACGGCGTGCCGGAGCCTCCCCATCGTCGAAGAGGATTATTAATGAACGCCCGGTAAACTGCCTGCCGCCAATTATCGCTGGTAAACGACGTGCTTTTCCACTCGACGGGATTAACACTCGCGCGGACTCGTTATCCGCCCGAGTGCGAATAGCCACTTGAAATTCCGCGTATCGCGTCGATTAATCGCGACACGGCATTAATTGCGCCGCTCGAACTTGGAGAAATAATGATGCGCGCGACGGGATAAACATTTATCGAGTACCTGCGAAATTCGACATCTCGGATTACGGTTATAAATAACCAATTTAAGTCTTCGCGACTTTGCATGTGCGAGGTTAATAGAAAGATTACGAAAGCGAGAAAAATGAGTTTTCTAAACTTTCCGAGAATAATCGGCGCCGCTCGCCGAGACAGAGGAGTATGATTGACGACGCGCTGACGCGTTGTCACGCCGCGTACAACGAAGGAGCGGCCTCTCACATGGAAAATATTTTCAGTCGCAGCATTTTTATCCCTTAGCTGCCGCGATAAGAGAATGCGAAAAATAGAGAGAACTTCAATTCCTCCGTATTTCTAATATCAAACGTGTCCAAATATTATTACAACATACATCAATTTTCCTACGATTACAAATAGCTTTTTAAGATCTACAATTTTAACACACATACCGCTGTGATCGTTGAACACAATTAATATAATTATGTCATGCAATTACTTATATTTGCAAGAGTATTACTATGTTTAACGATAACAGAAAACAAATTGCACTGGAAACAAATTAATTCTTTTATCTTTTAATTAGTGAAATTAAAATTGTACTAATTGTTATTGATTTTCTTGAATATGAAATAATCCAGCGTGAAAGTTAAAATATGCTTTGCAATGAATGTGTTAATGAAATAAAAGCAATGATAAAAAATATTTGTTATCCAATCACACGTTATTTCGTATGGATTCTTTCGATTTTGCGATTGGAAAGATGTTTTCTGTTAATTTTATTTGGCAGAAAACGACCAATTTGGCCCGGCCCTCTGACCCAAGTGTCTCCGACTCTACTTTGTAGAGGTATCGCCGGCGCCGATGTCAACGCTCCAAATTCCGAGGGAGAGCGATCGTCGTCGTTCTTCGAAGCGGCGGCAGCGCGAGCGGTCCGGTTCACGATTCCGCTATAATTCATCTTCCGCGAAGCGCAGAGACGTTTCGGGCTATTCTTGGGGCCGGCGCGGAATCTTTTTCAGCAACTCCCCGATGGACCGAGACGACGTGTTGGAACGCATGTCGGGAATGACCAATCATTCGAAACTTCTAGCTGTTTATGACGGTGCGTCGCGCGAGAGCGTGTATCTGCGTAGAATCGCGCAGAACATACGCGAACGAGTCTTTACAGCATATTATTTCATGGCGCCAGTGGTAAACATTTAGACGGCCGGCAAACACAGTTCTTATAAAAATACATTATCGCGCGTATAAGAACACGTGGCGCTAAATGATTCAAATCACAACTCAGCACTCGTCTACAAACTAATCAGCAGCCTTATCAACAGCATCGCGAGCGCCTCTGAAATTATGCTTGCAAATGAGAAATAGAAAAAAGAGGAAAGAATGAATGTAATCGAGCGTAGATCTATGCGGGATAAAAAGCGCTCAACCGATGCGGCGCGCCATTGTTCGCACCCGCCGCTAACAGCGTTTTGTGCACCTGTCAGTCAGACAACAGTGTCAGGACTCTCCGCCGGTTATGGAAATTCGGCTGGCATTAACGACGCCCGTCGTTTGCACATAGAAAAACCCAGTCAGTTGCCACCTTCGGGCGACGCGACGCAACGCGTTGCACGCTCGACGGACTCGGGGACAGCCGGGTGCGTAATCGTCTGCATCGCTGGCGCCGTGTCCCCTACTTAGCCTCTCATGGATTTAAATATATTCGATCAAGTCTCTGGCTGCGCATACGATTAACGATTGTTCCATAAAAACGAGGGACACACTAGGCGCATATACGCGCGGCCGTGGAAACCCGCTGGTACCAGCCCGCCTCTCTGTGTGTTCCGAGATATTTCTGCCAGTAGTTGCCACGAGGAAATACGCGCATTTAAGTCACGGCGATATATACTCTAACTTGAATTAATCTAAGTCGCGCGGAGGAGAGAGGAGGAAGAAAAACATGAGATGGAAATATACGCAAGATGTCGTAGTGCGAATAACTTTTACATTTACTTTTTTCAATAGAATAAAAAATTGCAACATAGCAATTGCAACAATAACGAGCAATTGCAAAATAAATAATAATGTTTCTATTTACGCGACCGCGCCGGAATAGAATTTTATTCGACCGAGGCCGTTCGGCGCGCTTGTGACCTCCTCGGAACGAAACGGATACACGGTACCCGATCCGTGCGCACCTCGTCCGTCCTGCTTTTTTTTCCACGCCGGACGCGAGGCTGCCACCGGAAGTCTCCACTTTGGCGAGACGCGAAAACTGCCTGGCGGAACACCTGCGACGACGATGTTGGCGGGCGCGTGAGCGTGGCGACGGCCCTGCGACGAGCCAAAGCGACGACTATCGCGACGGGCGACGAGGCACGAGGCGGCAGAGGGGAAGAGGTATGACGGGACAGGTGCGGCTCGTAACTTCCTGGATGATATCGGGCCAGTCCGGACGCGCGCGCGACCGGCGCTAACGCTGACGCTTACTTACGTTAGCGCTGGCGCCACTCGGATCCGCGCCGTAGGCGCCTGTCCGTCCCGGCTGCGTCCCTCCGTTCCCCGCTCAACCCCCTCCTCGTTTTCCGCTCCTTACTCCGCGCCGCGTCAGCATCCGTACCTCTTTGGCCCGCCATAACCCGCACGAATGCCCCCTGACTCCTCTCGCTCGTCCGCCGCTGCGCTTCGGCCCGAGTATCGTGCAAAGCCGCCGGCGAAAACGACGCTACCTTTATTCATGCGCACCGGGGCCGCCGGAAAAAGACACGCGGGATAGAAGAAGAGGGAACAGAAGGAGAAAGAAAGGAGGGCGAAGGCGGGACCGTGCATCGCCGAGGTGCGTGCATACGAAATTATACCGCGGCGAATCTAATCTTTCAGCCGCCTCGATCGACGATTTTACGTCGTGCCGACGACGCACGTTGCATCACTAAAGTTATGTCGAATGCACAGGCACGGAGGCGGGGAAAAATATGCCGATGAAAAAAATAGACGGACGTGTGTGACGTCCGTGTGAAATAATCGACCGAGAAATCACGTACGCACGCAATCGGACGTATTCGATCTGTGCACGCCGTTGCGACAAAGCAAATGATATCGGGGATTTAGTTTCCGAAGACGATCGCCGCTTCGAGTGTCGTGTTTGGAAGAATTTCGATGCGCCGAAAGAACTCGAGATAATGTATCGCGCTCTCGTTTTACGATCGATTGCTCGCGAGAGGCGAGCACATCGCGTCTAAATCCGAACAGCTTGACTACACAGCGGTCATCGTAGCGTAGATAATAAGGAGAAAATTGATTCTTCCAAGGCGGTGATATTTACAAATCGAGTTGCGGCATTGCTATATTTACACCTGCCACTCATGCCTTTTCAATTAACGGAAACTATGCAGGTAACGATTACATCGCTCTCTTGCCTTCGAGACGCATTCCGCAATCGCGTCTGACGCAATCGCGTGCGATACCAAACGGATTTGAAATCCGACATTGTTGAGACAACGCTAATTTATTCGCCGGCTATTACGTAAGAAGGAAGAAAGATGTGATGGTCCTGGCATAATTATCGCCTTCCAAATGCGGTAAATATTTTACCGCGAGCTACATTCCTCGCTTATCCTCGACAACTTGAAAAATTTTGTAAAATCAGCGCTTATTTATATCGCGTGTTCTTGTGGATTTTATAGGGTGAAAAGTGAATGAATTTCATTGAACTTTCATTTACTCCGACAAAACTTATCCGCGCGCTAGAAAATTCATTTCTCTGGCTCGTAATTTCGCAAATTCTGAACATTTTCGTAATCGCTGAACTCATATTGTCTCTTACCTGTTGCAAACTTTCTGCTATTGGTCGAGATACTGCGCACGTGTTACGCCGGCGTACAGAACGCCGCCGATTACGAGATCTCCGTTGAGAAGATCCCGCGTAAAGTACGTGGCTGAATTTTATTACTTGTACTCTTTCTCCATCTCATTTCAACGAGACACACATATCTGAAACACATGCCGATATGTTTCTCACATTGAATCGAAGTTAATGCATATAAATGTGTGAGCGGCAAAAAGAACTTTAGCATAACCATTTGTAATTCGCAGATTAGTTAATAAGAGGCAATTACTTTTTTACATTCGACGTCTTGGAAAAAACTAATTTATTCTACAAATGTTAATCGCTTTCGATAAAATATTTGCAACTTCATCATCTAATTTTTGTGACAAATATTAAAAACAAGACTTTGCACTCTGAATAAATAAATGCGAATACGAAATGTAAAAAGGACTAAGTAAGATTTTAGCAGAATAACTCTGTTTTTCAAATTCCAATTTCAAGAGACAAATTGTGAAGGCTCTTAAATGCCGTATGAATAATAAAACCTTTCAATTAATGCGGATGATCGAGTAATCTCGCTCCTTTGTATCTTATGCAACGCCAGGAAGACGCTTTGCTTCGGAAGACGACACAGAGTGGCGCGATCGGCACCACAAAATACCCGACTAAACTCTTCGGTCGTCGAGCGTCGACTGATCGCGATGCCTGCTAACTGTCGCACAATATGTAGCGCGTACACGCCGTGCAACGCGGACGGACTGGAGCCGACGGTCTCTCTGTTCGCCACCCCTGCCTGCCGGCCGTCGTCGTCTACTCATGTAAGGGCGGCCGGCCGGCGCGGAGCGACGGCGCGACGCGGCGCGAATCCGCGGCGACACGACGAGCGGAGCGGCGGCGCGCCAGTAACGTGGCGACGCGGCTCCTGACGCCGTTCGGCCGACACGTATGCGTGCCGATGTATACACATGTACAAACACGACGGCGACGACACGAAGCCGCCGTCGCTTTCGTACGTGTGCGCGCGACGCCCGGCACCGGCACGGTGGTGGTGGCGGCGGCGGACACGAGCGGGGTAGTTCTGGCGCGCATGCATGGCCAACGAGGACGTTGGGACTGCTGGTACACACACCAGGGTGCTTGACCGAGTCAAGCCAAACGACCGACGACGACTTCGGTATATACGTTTCGGGGGACTTTTCTTGCTCCCGCAGCGGATAAACAATGTCATTTGCAGCGGCGGCGGCGGTGGCGGCGACGACGACGACGACGACGACGGCGGCGTCGCGTCCCTTCGCCGCTGTTCGATATTCGCGCGCCGAGGAGTCGGAAGAGCTGCCGCGATGCATCGAGATCACCGCGATGACTTACAATTAGAATTAATGCGTTTCGTATGCACAAACGTGGCTTTGATTAAAATTATACAATTGTCAACCGTCGTAAAAACTGTTTCCCGAAATCAGATCTCGCATATTTCACGCTATGTTACTTTCTTCTATACGATTGATCAAACATGTTTATTTTTAATTATTCATTAAGAATTAATTTCAAATTCTACAACCGTTTTTAGAGAGACTGATGTTTTATTGACAATATTTTTACTACAGCGAATGGCGCCGCTTCTTCCTCTTCTTTCGCCCCGACGTCTGCGAGTCGCGGCGCGATTCGATTCGGGTAACATTAGGGTGATTCCCGATTCGATGTATACTTTTAAAGCCGGGGTGCTTTACGACGCGCGAATTAAACGGGCGCGTGAACGCGATTTCCTGCGTCTTAATGGCGGGAAGCGAGTAAACACCGGTACCATTCTCGTTTTCGTCGTACTGTTTAGCCGCGAAGCCGAGCTCTATTTCCGTCAAGTGTACGCACTCAAATCTCCCTTCCCCTTTCCGCGCAGATCATAAAAAAGAACCACGGATAATGAAACGAATGGGATGAAACGTACCAGAGGCGATTATTAGCGTTTCTGCTCGCGGAAAGAATTCTTGTAAGAATCTGACATTTGCTAAAAAAGGACTGCCACTTAAAATGTCCAAACATCCACCTTTCGCGAATTCAACTTTTCAATGTAATTAAATATGGAAATGGTATTCGATAAAATTCAAGTGTACATTCTTTTTTCTAATCTTCCTAGGTCGCTTGTTTAAGTTTTTGATGTTGAATATTAAAAACTTAAATATGCGTAGGCTTCTATCTAAATATCGTAATACTGCAACCATATTAGCTTATTTATGTTCCTGGAGATTAAAGAGCGCGATTGACGTTTATTCCGGTCCGTGCGTTCCGACCGGAAATTTCCGATCATACGACCGTTCGGAAACCGCGTCGGCGGCGCTCCGGCACCACCGTTAACGACGGACGTCTCTCCGCGCTCCGGGACTCCGCAGCGCGTTCGGGACAACAAGTTAGAAAAACGGAATGACGCCGTAGTGTCAGGACATCAATTCTTTCGTAATGACACGAACGCAGCCAGTCGGTCGGACGTCCGTTCGCGTCCGGTGGCGGAGGGAGCGGTCGGGGCGACGGTGATGATCCGGGTCCGTCCGGCTCCGGCTCCGTTCTCCGTCTCCCGTTGTTTATCAAGTTCCCCTTCGCATAACAAGCATCAAAACACTTGGCGCCCCACGCTGGAGCCGTCGTAGTCGCACCACCCGTTCCCCTCCGGGGGTGCTAGCCGCTTCTCTACTACTTTCCGCGGATGTTGCTGGGGGGGTAGGCGCTCTCTCTGGCATGGGTTAAAACGGCGGGTACACTCCCGGCGGGAGGGGGTATTATCTCTCTCTCTATCCACACCAGGCGCCGTCTATACCGGCCCCGAAAAAAAGAATGAGTTATCGTCCTGGATCTAGGAGCGCAGTGATTGCGATCACCGGGATTTCCCCTGCTTCCCGTTGTAAACTGCGCACGATCAACGCGGAAATTATAGGGTTGCTGTTTGAGGGAAATTAAATACCATAGGTTTCGCGCACGGGGACCATGAAGGAAACATGTAACTTAATAATTGATAGCTCGTACTGCGAATAATGTGAACATTTTATACCGAGAACAATTTAATTTTTTTCATTATTTAAGAATAAATCTTCCGAAATTATTTTATCATAAAAAAACAGAGATATATTCTCCAAAATTAAACCATATTTAACTCTAAGCCTTTTCATTAAAATTGTGTTTCGATTTAATAAAACCAAATATATATATATATGTTATGGACAAAGTGATAAATGAGGCACATGCATAATGCTCGAAACCAGTCGGACAGAGTGATAAATAAATAAATAAATAAATAAATAAATAAATAAATATATTTATTTAACCAGGCAATATAAATATAAATAAATAGAAATAAATAAATAGAAATATATATATAAATATATATATATTTATTTATTTATATTTATTTTTATTTATATTGTCTGGTTAAAGCGATAAATTAACAAATATTTATCACTCCGCCCGACTGGTCTCGGGCATTATGCATAATGCCTCATTCATCACTTTGTCCATAACATATATATATATACTGCACACTTAATAAGATCACACTTAATAAGATCAAAATGCAATCAAGAGAAAACTCTACTAATTTGCAGTCGACCTTGTCTTCAATAAATAACACCGTTCGATTATTTCTCTTTCAATTATTCTCGCATATAGTTTGCGATGGCGCTATTGACGCGTCTAGGAAACAGGGATTTCGGATGACAACGCCGTGGAAGGGGGGAGAGGATGAATGTGAGTGCATCGTGAAAGATGGAGAAAGAGGGGGCCGAAGATAGAGATGAAAGGCGTTCGCCCCCGGCAACGCGGTGTCCCACCCCCGTGTGCGTCGTGGCGTCGGTGCCAGAAGAAGTATTCTTGCATTGGTCGTCGTCATCGTCGTCACCACATCACTGTCGACTGGCCGATGCTGGCGACGACGACGATGGCGACGACGCCGCTCCATGCTTGGCGTCGAGGTTAGCGCCGGCCGGTCGCTCGGATCGGCGCCTGACTGTCTCTCTTTCTCTCCGTCCCTCTCGCTGGCTCTCTCGGTTTCGTCTGTCCGCAGTTGGAAGAGAGCGGCCGACGTCGTCGTCGTTCGTTCGACGGCGACGACATGGCTCTGCCAGCCGGCTGTCGCCGCCCGCGCGACTCCAACCCTTCGCTCCTCCGAGTTCCGGTTCTCCCCTGCGCACCTCGCCGATCTGTTTCGCCGCGCGAATGCGTTTAGATAATGAAACATCGCTGTCGAAAAATCGCGCTACACCGCGCGTTACAGCTTCGACGAGCCTTGAAATTGCCGCCGCTTCAATGCGATCTCTAACGCCCACATTGTCAAGGCGTTATCATTGTAGTGAAATGTTCAAGTTTACTTTTTATAAAAATGTATAGCTGCCTGCGGTATACGAAGATATTTTCTTGATTAGATTATATTAGTCGACTGTATGACTGATGTTAAGTGCCGAGCTCGGCGCATTTATCAATGATATGCGATAACGTTACAAACTTAGGCACACTTAATGTTACGCTGTTATGACTTATCGCTTTCGTTTAACAAGAGCTTCTTTTTACATATCCACATATTTTTGTTTTTCTCATAGAATGCAATCGATCGTAAAGCACCGCGTCGCGCCGTCGGGGCCTGCGGCGAAATTCCGGGGCCCCATCGTCATAACAAACAAGGCATCAATCCCCGGCAACTGACGTTGCGGCGCGCGCCACAAGTTCGTGTAATTAGATCGCGTTCCTGCGTGCAACAGAAACCAGAACGCGGATTGTTTCGTAGCTAAGGGGCCAGTCGGATAATGAGACTTTACGCCGAGCCGGCGAGAGGTTCGCTCCGATTGCCTGCCGTCGATCGCCTGCCATCATCGTGGAGAAGTCGGCCCTCCGAAACTATCGGGGGTGATGTTTTATGAAGGCAATCCTGGTCCCGGCG